TGCGCTCTTCCCGGCAGAGGCAGTCACTTGCCAGCCATTGGACAGCTGCTCATGGCTACCCACAGCAGCTCACGAAAACTCACACCTGCTGCCGGTCAGCCCCACTGCAGCCTACGCCATCGCTGGCGGCCCATGGCAGCCCAGCTCCAGGTCGAGCTGTTGTTCACCATCTTAGCTGTAGAGGATGCAGCGTCACTGGCCCGCTTGTGGGATCTGAACCAGGGCCCCGCTGCTCAGAGCTGGTGTCCCAAGCCAACTCCTAACCAATGCACCACTCGGCCAGCCCAACTGCCAGACTTTTTCAGAGTGGTTATCAACAGGAAAACCAAATTGTGGTTTATTTGTACAATGGGAATACAGTACTTGTAACAAAGTGGATAAATCTCAGTGGGTTCATCAAAGTGGTTGAACAATTGTGCTACATGAATGAAACCAAACATACAAATAGAATATATACTATTTGATTTCACTCATAAAAACTCTAGGAAACGTAACTAACTTATAGTGACAGAATACATATGAAATTTGGCAAATGCAGCAAAGATTGCTATGAAAATATGAAAGGAGCAGATATGACATTGTAAATATTAAATAGCAGGAATTGTTAAGATTCAGATTTTAATAACATCGGGCAAATAGCCTTAGGCAGCCATCTCTTTCCAGTTATGCGCCACTAAACTATGCAGATACTATACATTCTGAGAAACATGGTTAGGTGATTTCATTGTTGTGCGAACATCATAGCTTGTACATACACAAACTTAGATTGTATAGCCTACTACATACACACCCAGGCTACATGGTTTCCAGGGGTTGGCAAACTTTTGAGACGGAAGAGCCGCCAGGGGTCAGCAAACGGCGGCAAATAAAATGGAAAATGTAAATAAAACTATCATAGTTTCATTTATAAAAATTTTAAAGGATATTATTCACATAATGGTGATTATGTAAAAATATATTTATGGCTCTTGAATAATTTTTAAATTGTTGTGAGGGACAGGATTGACTCTTCCAGGGGCCAGCAAATTGAGATGGAACATACCCAGAGCTGCATGTGGCTCGTGAGCTGTAGTTTGCCGACCGCTGGTATAGCCTATTGCTCTGTAGGGGAGGAAAAATAATTTTCCCTCTACTCCTCTGAGTTCCTGGCTGAGACATTCCTGTAATAAAAGACAGATTAATAGGAGAAAAATAAACAAAGCTTAATAATATGTATACTTTCTGTATACATGGGGGAGACCCAGGAAACTGAGTTACTCACCAAAATGGTTGAAGCCACCACCTTAAATAACATCTTCAGCTGAAGACGAAAGATGTTGGGAGTTGGGGTTGTCAGTTATGGGAGGTTACCAGGAAAAGCACAGTAAACAAGGGTAAATAAGGTTGTTATGCAAATTTAAGTCCTTGTCTTCTGCATGGAGAATTTCTAGAGATAAGGTCATCCTGTTCTTTCTGGTAGAGCAGGGGAGAAACCCTTATAAATGAGATTTTTCTTAGAAATATAAATGTATTTTACAAAGGGTAACTTCTACTTGATTTTCATAGCTTCTCCCATGTCTGCTGTTTCTTAAAAAATTAACCAACCTAAAATCATTCTTATTCCAAATAGATATATTTTGGGGTGACAAATTCTGTTCCCC